CAGGGCAGAGGGGAGGCGAGGCCAGGCCTACAGGGCAGGGGCCAGGGAGGCGAGGCCAGGCCTGCAGGGCAGAGGGGAGGCCAGGCCTGCAGGGTGAGGGCCAGGGGGCGAGGTGGCGCGGAGCTCACCGGTTCTGGTTGTACTGCACATTCTGCGTCAAGTCCACGTTCAGGACCACGAAGTCGTGCACGTGGCAGCGGGAGAAGGGCTCCCGCACCTCGCGGCTCCCGGTCTTGCTGGACCACTTCCGCAGGCCGATCAGCGCGTAGTGGGTGATGTTGGGGGCCGCCTCGATGTGCTGCATGATGTGCTTCAGGGACACGTTCCTCTCCGACCACGAGAACTCCCTGCTGGGGGCACAGCGCCGGCCGGAGGTTGGCACTGGTGACGGCGGCCAGCCAGGGCACTGGCTCCCAACCAAACCGGCTACATGTGCTGGACAGCACTGCCCGACCCCCGGCCAGGGCCCCGCACTGGGCGAAGCACCTGCAGCAACCCAACACACAGCATCATGGCGGGGTTCCTCAGACGAGGAAATGAGGCTCCCCGACCTGCCCGTGGCTCGCAGGAGGGCCCAGATTTGGCCAGTCCGTCCGTCTCCACAGCCTGCACCCTTCCCGCCACGCTGGCCCTCCACCAGGGCCAGAAATGCAGGTCAAGCGGGACGAACTGCGTCCCCACCGTTGTGAATTCCGGGGGAGAGGGTGGGGAGGAAGGGGCCGGGTGGACGCCCCGCCCCCTCGGCCGTGGGGTGTGTGAGGATGGGGAGGGGCACCTGATGACCAGGGAGGGGCCAGGGAGGGGCCAGCAGGGTTAATAATCCTGCAGGGTGGGGAGGAAGCCCCAGGGTCTGTGGTGATGGAACACGGGTGAGCGTGTGGCTGCACCGCGGTGCCAGTGCCCGATGGGGAACCCTGGTATCACTCAGTTGAAAACAAATATAATGTTAAAAAATGAAAAAAGTTTGCCAAAAGGAAAAAGCGGCCCATACCACTCAGGCTCAAGTCCGCAGCTCCGTAGGCCACGCCAGCACACGTCTAAGGGGGCACAAGACCCCGTGACGCGCCAGCCGCGGCCCTGACTGCGCAGGGGCAGCACCGCTGGACCCCAGGCGCCGGGCGGCGGGCCGGGCGCTGGCAATGCGCCGCTTCCCCACGCGGGAGCTGGCAAGTGGGGTGCTATTCGGGGCCATTTCTCTACCTGATCACCCACGTTTTGCGTGTGCTTTGAAGGGAGACCGGGCCCTCCCGGTGGCGCAGCGGGTTAAAGCGCAGCGCGGCGAAGCTGGCCGCAGCCGCGTCAGTGCGAGTTCGATCCCCGGCCAGCGTGACCCGCACGGCAGAGCAGACCTCTCCTGACTCCTCGCTGCGCCCCTCAGCAGTGTATTTGATCAGTCTGCCTCTGGGGAGTCCTCTCAGCGCCCCGCACCTCTGGGCTGTACCCCAGTTCTGTAC